GAGCAGAGCAGAGTTTGAGGTGTCTCCACCTACTCCTCAGCACATTACCCTAATAGCTCCCCTGGGGCCAGCAATAGGGTTTCTGCCAGCAGAGGCGGGTGGATGCAGCTCCCTTCCCCACAGCGATACCCACCTTGTGACTGGAATGTGTAACCAGGAAAGTTGCACACAGCTGCAGTGAAGATGACAGTCCATATGAGAAGCCTCCAAGCTATTGCCATGGCTAGCGATGCTTGTCTCAGTACAGGGAGTATTGTGCCAGCTGAACGGGCGCTGTCCCAACATGTCTCTCCCTCGGCCACTGCTTATGTAGATACAGGAGTCCTCGGTCCCTCCGCAGGCATCCTCAGCTGCTCCATGCTCTCCCCAAAGCAGCGAGGCTGATGATGGTCTCTTTGCCGTGTGCTGTGCCCAGGCCGGCGCAGTGGGGTCAGCATGGGCTAATTTGAACCGCAAGTGCTCGGTGGCATTGCCCCTGCAAAGGAGAGGGTGGGGATGAGTGAACTGGAGAGACGGGTAGTAGGGAAACAAAGAATGGAGGAGAAGGACAGGAGGGAGAAAAAGGCATGCCGGGTGAATGAGGAAAGCCCATCTTCCAGAAGGGAAGAGTGAGATGGAAAGAAAGAAAGGGGACAAAAGGATAGGAAGCGAATGCAAATGCAATTAACCACATCAGTTTGCAGCACTGGAAAGCCTGCTGTGGGGTCACTGCACACCTGGGTGCTCTCCCTGGGGCAAACTCTGCTCCCAGCACAGCCCCTGCACTGCTCTGACAGCAGCACTAAAGAGCTGGTATATACCTTAGACCCGAGGAAAAGAGCTCAGAATAAATGGGAACCCTTTGTCCTTTGGCAACACCCACAAGAAAGTGCAGACCGAAGACTGACCTGGTCTCAGTTACCTGATCTCTTAAAGAAGAGCACAAAATAAAAGCATTAGCAGGATGGTAGTGGGCAGCAACCTAGAAATCCTCTCTGCTCCAGTTTCCCTGGCTTCAAAATACACTTCAGTGACTGTCGCTGCACTGAGAGAAGAGCACTTGCTCTCAGACTGTATTAGCTAAACCTAAAAAAGTGATTTAAAACAAAGGACCCATTCAGTGAACTCACCCTTACCCTCAGCTCTAGCCACAAATGGATCGTGAGATTCCAATTGTATTTGTTATTTAAAATGATTTGCTAATTGCTTTAGTGAAAGATTTTTGGCTTGCAGATAATTTCCACTCAGTCTGAGGCAATTATACAAAACTCACATAGTGCTGGAGAGTTGCATAAAGCCTGCGGTTTTTGTTTCTATCCAGCGATTAGATGACGTACGCAATGAATATGGCACATACCTAACTACTGCCTGGAGAATCCCAAATATCTGAACAGTGATGCTCTGCTCGAGAGCAGTCCCACAGCAAAACGCAAACGCTCCTGCGAAGGTGACAGATAAAATACATACTGAAAGCTGACTTTAGGTCGGTTGATGCAGCTACAACTTGCACAGCAGTGGACGATGCTGGAGCACAGCAGGGAAAGGCAGGACAGATGCCCCTGAGCTGCTGGGAAGATGAAGCTTGGCTGGAGATGGGAGGATGGTGCTCTTTGCAAAGGTGTCAATAGCCACGGCATGTGTGCGGTCCTCATCCCCGTAAAGAAAATAAGGTTGCTAACCCTTGCCTCGCTCTGCTCTTGTGTGTTTTAAATAGCAAAGACTAACTACTGGCTGGACTGCGGGGCAGGAGAGCCCGGTTCCTCCTCGGTCTGCCACGCTCCCCTTCACCTTGTGTCCTCAGGGGAGTCTGCAATTTATTTCTACTTCTGTTTTTCCATCTTTACCCTGCAATTAATGTTATTTGTGCTGCGGGGGCTTGGAATAACCACCATCACAGGCCAGAGACTACATAGGGGAAGTGCAAGAAGAAATGAGAGAGATTATTCCTACCCCAATAATTACTCTAAATGAGTTAATGATTTTCCCCTACTAGACAGAAATGTTGGGAGGATTAATCATGCATCTTTAAATCACAATTTGGAGTTCTATATTTGAAATGTTAAGATTTTTAACTGTTTATTTACAGTTAAAATTGGCCAAAGACCACCAGCGAGGCCTCGGGCTGGCCTCCCCAGTCACATCTGATGCCACTTGCCAGGTTGGCTTCAGACAAAACACCCACAATGGTAGCCCGAAGACTGCGCACTCCATCAGCAACCATGAGAATAAACTGCCTGATTGGGGAAAAACTGTCTAAATCTCGTCTCAGGCTGTTCCACTCACCCATGACAGGTAAAGGGAAGAGGCAGCACAGGCAAGAGGGTTGGGCAGGAATTCTTCTTCCCTCTTCCACCACAACATGAGGACTCTGAGATCAGCACTGTCGGTCCATGAGGCCATGTCCCCCTGGTGACAGCATCCTCTGTAGCGTCGCCCCCCCAGGCTGTGGCACAGAGAGGGCAGAGCCAGGGCCAAGTGCCATGGATCCTGCAAGCTACTCTGTGACTGCTCCCCCCAGGGCTGCAGGAAGTGAACTGGAAAAGGGAGAAGGCAAAACGAAAGCCGGGCGTGCTGCGGCCCTCTCCTAAGTCAGCATTTTTCAGCATCTATTAAAGCTCGAGATTCCAGCTTTTAAATCCTGTCACAGCTCCAAGGTCTGCGGACAGAAAGCCACTCAGCTGAAGTATATTTTCTCCTGGGCTTCACACTACTAATTTTTCTTGTTTTCCAGCTGTTGAACCCGCTTCCTTAAGGCTGTCGTTATTTCCTGTCCTTCCTCCGCCTCTCCGCGACCCTAAGCGGCAGCAGTAGTGACTCGTGCCCTTGTCTCCCCTCTGCCCTTCCCCTTCAGTCTCAGCGCCTCGGCATCCCCGGGAACAGGGGCCAGGAGGGAGCTGCAGGCGCCAAGACCCCGCAGCCCCGACCCTGGGGGAAGGAGGCACATTTGGAGCAGCACAAGTCAGGAATTACAGCTGCAAAATTCCCGTAAGCCAGGCTGGGGGAAGGGCACAGCTTCGATTCCTCCCCACACACAGCAAGGAAAACATGGCCCCTTCCCAGCGGCACTTCGTTTCCGAGACCCCAACGAGCCCATCTCCTGCAAGAGAAGGACCCATAACAAGGAGGAGAGCAGGAGGTGCGCGGACTCTGTGGCTGCTTCAATACGTATAAAGTTTTCCATAACCTCACTTTTCAGATTTTGCTTTCTGAGCAACAGCAACTGGCAGCCGTGGACAAGCCCGAGGAGCCCAGGCCCTCACAGGGCGCGGTGGGACGCAGGGGTCTCATGGGTCGGAATGGAGGGGCTGGGGGGAGGCATGGAGTGACCTCTCCGGTCTCGTGCCTCCCTCACTTGGGCCGGTTCCGATTTGCTCCTTCCCGAGGAATTCGTTGTCCTTGGCAGGCGCCCCGCGAGCGGCTGACGCTCCCCGCTCCCCGCGCCAAGGTGGCTTTTGCCGCGTGAACCCGTGGGCCAGGCCGCCCGCGCGAGGAGGCAGCAGCGGCAGGGACGAGGGGAGCAGGGGCCGATGCCGCTGGAGCTGATGGCAGCTTTGAGGTCACCTCTTCCCACACCAAAAACACGCGAGAAGCAGGGAGCAGGGGAGGGGGTTTAAAATTCAAGCCGGAATAAAGCAAAAAGAGAAGAGAAAAAAGAAAAACAGATGACAACTGTTACTAATTTCAACATCGGGGCTGCAGACAGAATTCCCTGAAAGCCCGGCTTTTTGGCCGGGGAGGCAGCTTTATGGGAAGGTAATAGGAAGCAGATGGGCTCTGCTCGGGGCCAAGAGGAAGGTTCAAGGTGCCTCCTAGTGCAGAGAAGAGGAATTTAACTGCTTTTAAAGATGCAGGGCCTGGCAGTTCCAGGTTTCTCATCCAACTTTTGCAAATTATGAGCTCAGGTGTCCTTTTCCCTTTTTTGAGAGAAATAAATACAAACACAGATTTCTGCTTCCAGCTTTCCCCAGTGGGAGGAAATACTTGCGGCGAACCCCCCCTAGCCCTTCCACCGACATCTTCCCGACATGCAGCGCCTGCGAGCAGCGAGAGCAGCGCCCCACGGCCACACTGCTTCACCCCAAACAGCATTTCTGGGCTGTGTTATTAGCAACAGCGTTAATGAACGAATGAAAGTCACCAGCCCTGACAGTTACTACTTCTTTCTTCTGTAAAACGGGGTACCAGCACTTCCTAACCATGCCAGGGTTATCGTGATGCCCACGTCCCACAGCTTGGCCAGCTTCAGGCCTGGCTCGGGCCTCCTGCTCCGCACAGTGGGCTCTTACCTGTTATCACAGCTGCCCACTGTGGCCACATGGCAAACCTCACAGTGCCTGTAGATCACGGATGCCGATCCTAAAGTCACCGTGTTTTCTGAAAAAAACAGCCCCCTTCTCACCTGCTTCGCTCCTTCATGGAGGCCCACAAGTTTTCGCTGTAAACCCTCGGCTGAAATCTACTTCCCAAATACTGCCGCAAAGCAGAAGGATAACTCCTGCGCATGGTCTCCGGGGATTGTCCCGGTTCCAGCCCATGCTGCTCCGCTCAGGGGACGCTCCGAAAACCACCATGTGCCTGTCACTGCCTGACCTGTGGAGCTGAGCGCCATCGGGGTCAGAGCAAGGGGACACCCAGACCACCAGCCCCATCTCCACCTCTGTGAGAACGAGCACGTGGCAGGGCTCACAAAAAGCATGAGGGCTGAGGAAATCGTTTTATGGGGGACTGGAACATCTTAAAATCCAAAGCCCTGGTGAGCTCTGCCAGGCAGTGGCTGATGGCAGCCCTGTCTGGGTCTCCAGAGACAACTCAATGGCACCTTTGTGTGATCAGCCTCACAGTGAGCTGCATGTGCCAGTGGCCACCTCTGGCACTAAGGCCTTCCTAGCAGAAAGCCACCCCTGGTGACCCAGGCCAGCCTTTTTGGCATAAGAACACACACAGCCAGATGACTCTGGCCACATATGAAAAAAAAAAAAAAACCCAAAACCAAAACCAGCATCTTCAAGGAAAGTTAGTTGGTTTTTTGCACTTCCAACCAAGCCCATCAAACATCAACTTCCATGCAGCCAACCTGCATGCTTAATTTAGCAGGCTTCTTGGTCCAGGTCGGAGGAAGGGGCAACGTCAGCCAGTCACTAGCATAGCAAGAAATCAGAGCTCAGCCCTTCCAGCCAGGCATGGACAGGACCTGTTTGCAGTTCACTGAAGGGGACATCTCTTTCCTCTCCCACCACTGCACCCAGCCACTCTCCATACCGCCAGCTCTCCCATCTCCACCAGCACCTCCGGCCTCTCCTCACCATCCACAGCATAAGGAGGGGAAGGGAAGGGCTGCGGGGGACGAGGAAATCCACGGACGACACTCCTGCCTCCCTTCCTTGAAACTGCTCCCAAACCGCTTCTCACCATTTCTACCTCCTCCTCCTCCTCCTCACCACCTCGGCTCTGTGCATCCTGGGGTATGGCAACAGGCAGGTCCCTCCCTCCGGGCGCTGGGTTGCCAATGCAGCTGTGTGCTTGCTGCTGGCTGGGGGCTGCTGGCCCACTGCGCTCCCCTGGGGCGGTGGGTGTTTCACACGTGCCCAGTCACCACCCCAGCTCCTGGCAGGTTCCTGCAGGTTCCTGAGGACAGAGTAAACAGCGCTGCTCCCTCCCGGCCATGCTGCACCTCTTGCGGCAGGGGGTAAGAGGCTGCGCGGGCGGTGAACACGCGGGTGGATGCAAAGCTTCCCGAGACCTCCCCGGCTTTCAGCAAGAGACTGTCCTGATATTCCCAACAAAATACTTGGCTGGAATGCTAAGTTGAAAACATGCTGAGTTGCAGATGGCAGAAGTCTTTTTGCAGTCATCCTGCCAGTATGACAGGACTTCCACTGGGAAGTCATTTCTCAGATCTAGACTAGCATTATGGGTTAAAAACAGAAAAAATCAGCATTAACTAATCAGAAGCTCACTGCTAGGAGCATCGGTTGCAGAACATGAAAAATGGGTTAAAGTCACAGGTCTGCAGAACTGAAAACAAGAGCCTGAACCGTAATCTGCTTTGCTGTTCCAAGCCTGGCCTCTCTGGGGGCACAGCAAGCAAAGAATTAGAAGCATGTAGTTATCACTGTTCACCAGAAAACAGCAGCCTCCAGCCATGGGATGGTTACTGCCTACACTCCTCACAGCAACCCTTTAGGATCCCCTCGCCATCCCTCTGGTTCCTCCTGTTAACAAGCCCGCACTGGAGTAAGGACAAGGGCTTTTGCCTTTCCCTTTCTTGCTGGCATCCAGCAGGCTGAGAGGGGACCTGCAACCCTCGCTGCAGCCCACCTCGCTTGTAAGGGCTGTTTCATTTTGCCCAAAGAACAGTTCTTTGCAGACAGCCATCCCAGTGACTGCAGGGTCAAATGTAGAGTTTGCCCAGAGGAGAGATGCTGCTTTTACAACCGCTAAAAAAGATCTAACCCCATCCAAAGGCGCTCACAAGCAATGTGGAAAATCCAGACTGATGTGCCAGCCCGAACCTGAGAGGTGAGGGGCCTGAGCCCAGGTCTCCATGCCCCTGCCAGCACCTTGGTACCAGCCCGGATGAGCAGGGGAACACCCTCGCTGCCTTCGGACCACCAGCTCCCTCCAACAGGCTCGCTGCTGCACTCTGCGCCGGGCCCTGCTGTGCTCTAGCCGGGCACACCCTCCATCCCTTTGTACAAGCAAGCTTCACAAGGGTTTGGGCTCACTCCAGTACTGTGTGGGAGTATTTTTTTTTTAAAACACAAGAATTGTTTTACAGTCAAGTCTATTCAGTGCAATCTTAGTGAGGAAAGGACTGAATTGCCCCCTTGCTCCTCTCCAAAATCCAGCGGGATCTTTAATTTCACCAGCAAAGAGGCAAAAGAAACCTATCACAAAGCGAGGGCATACGAGTGGAGAGCTGGGAGCACCGACCTCTCTCTGACACCAACTGCTTTGCTTTCTGGAAATACTATCTCTCTGTTACATAAGGATCTGGCCCTATCTGGAAAGCTGGGGTCATTGCATTTCTCCAAGTGTGGTAAAATGCTCGGAGGTCCTCAACAGGAAAGCACGAGAGAAGTGCCAGCTCATATCATCATCAGGGAGGGGTGTTCGGCACGGGGCAGTGCAAGCCCCAGGGCTCAGCCCAAATCTAGCTGCTAGACCAGTCAACTTCAGCCAGATATAAGGTGCCTACCAAGCAACCCAGTGCTCCCAGCCTTGGACTTCCTTTGCTTTAAGGAGATGACTCCACCAAGCAGGTCCACTTTCAGACAGGACTTATGCAATAGTTTGGAGCCGCTCCATGTGACCCAGACTTGCTGGCCCCCTGCCACCACTCTCCTTGCTGGCTTCAGCCACACACAAAACAGCAGAATTAAAAAGACGACCAAGCAGTTATTAAAAGAAAGTGCAACTCACCTACCATACGGTGCCCCTGCCAACTACACACATGCACCATCCATGTATGCACATGTCATCCACATGCATGCAGACCACAACTGCAGCGGTTTTGTGTGGCTGTGCACAAGGATACACGCTACCTGTATGAGGATACACACTATCTGCAGGCAGGTCTGTGTTCTGTACCCACATGCCCCTCCACATACCATCATGCGCTGCCGATACCTCTGGGTATGCCATGCACGAATGCTGTTTTTGTATCTGGCGTCTCCTTGTCTGTATGACTGCCTTCTGCCTTCATAAAACCACCCCTTGTCTCTGCGGGGTTCAGGGCAGCTGGGAGAGAATCTATATCTCCTGGGCCTCTGCACAAGCAGCTCCCTCCCTGTGCTCCTACTGCTCCTCCTGCACCAGCATGGAGCAAGCAACACGGCTCTGCTGTGCTTGGGATGCCGGGAAACTGCCCCAGGCTCTCGGAAAGGCCAGGAGCACTCACACCTCTGAGCAGGCAGGGAAGCAGACGCAGCCACTGCAACAGTCTGGTGCAGCCATCTCTGTCGCAGCGGAGCTGGCTCCCGCAGCAGCCCTTCAGCAGTCTTTGTGCTTACACAACACAGCAACACAAGGCACCAAGCCCTAGGGTTGCATAAAAACAAACACCTTCCTGTGCCAACACTGAGCTCCACTCACCTGCATAACTGCCACAGTCTCTCTCCAGGAGGGATCTGGTCTGAGAAAGGGACGTGCTGTTTGTCCCACTTCACGTTTTATACAATTATACCTTAAACACATGTCACAGCTCACACACCAAGTGTGGCACCTTAAATTTGGCTCCTTTGTCAACCTGGCATTAGGGCAGGGCCATATCCCACACATCTGTAGTGCTGCACCTGTGCTGGGACCCTCCGACAAAGACTGTCCGGCCACCTGACTGGAAATGCTATGCTAGAGGGCAGAGCCCCACTACAGCCCCTCTCAGCGCCTGACACAGCACATGCATCCATGGTACAACACAGTCTCATATGCTAAAGCTGGAGGGACAAGAGAGCCCCTCTGAGCTTCCCAAGAGCATCTGAGGTGATTCCTGTTACCCAGACGGGCTGTGAGAAGTACCATGGGACCTGCAGTGAGCACAGAGATCAGCAGCTCCTTCTATCACCACCATGGTCTAACACTGCACCCAGCAATAGCACAGTCCTGGATAGGGAAAGGGATCCACAGCATTACCTGTCTCCAGCACTCGTTGCTGATTTGGTCCTGCCAGACTGAATGAAAGAATAACTGAGATTGGAAGGGACTTGAGGAGATCTCTGGTCCCACCCCACACTCAGAACAGGGTTAACTTTGACATTAGATCAGGTTTGGATCACAAAACCCAGGCTGTCTCAGAGGATCACATACAGAAGTGGCTTATAGGAAACACAGTGACCTGTAGAGAGGGACCCTAAAGCAGCAAAGTCAGTTTGAACCACGCTGTCCTTCCAGGAAATCAGAAACATGTCCTTTCAGAGAAGCGGCTGCATCCTGGTGACACAGAAAAAGGGAGAGGAGCCCTCTCAGGGCTGGCCAGAGAGGTGGCTTGTCCTGATCTGCTCTATCTGCTTGGCTGTGTGCTTCCAGCGCCTCGGGACCGAGACTCACCCTCTGCAGATGTGCAGGCAACCTGCAGCCCCCCAGGGCACTGAGAGCGCAATAACGTGCACACACAGCCTAGCCTCCCCGCCTTTCAAAGTCTCCCTGCAAGCAGGTGAATGCTACGGGCTTCGTTTCACAGCAGGGCAGACCAAGACAAGCGAAGTGCTCTGGTGACAGCTAAGCAGGCAGTCTGTGTGAGAGCATGGGGGGCTCCCCATGCAATTTCCTTGGGGCCTGCTTCGTGCAAGGCAGTGTGGCCATGACAGCAAGCACCCACAGACCCCAAGACATGCTACAATAGAGGAATGTGCCAGGGGAGCTCTGCAGCAGGATGAAGTCTTGCAGACAGCATTGGGCTATGGACTCCCTCCAGCCCTCACAGATCTGGAAGATCTACAGATCGTTTCCAGGCTCCGGCTCCCTTAAGCGAACTCCATGAGATCTGCCGTGCAGAGAGTTTATGGGCCCTTTTTCCCTCCCTGCAGGTTCCCTGTTCAGGGAAACAGATGGCCCAGATGGTTTGGATTTGATGGGGTATGGCAGGGTGCAACAGAAAATATGTCGACTCAC